ACCACCATCGGAGACACACTGCAATACCATTCCTTCTAGCAAGCAGAAAATGGGATGCGATTGGTTGTGTGTGCTGGTCTGTGGAGTCTGGTGACTCAGTGTTTAAGCACTGCATCGTTAGGGAGGAGTGAGCTCATCGGCAAAACAGTGGGGAAGGTGGCATGCTCCTGAGCCTCCCAACCACAGCAGAAGGGATGGGACAGCTAGTGTGCAAGCTCCACCTCTTCTGAGGGCACAGTCTGGGAAGAGAGAAGGCAGGCCACCGCCACACATGCAGAACAGGAAACAGGCCCGCTCCATTTTCCCGCCCAGGCTGCACATAGCAAGAGTCATCTATGCAGAAGTCACTGCTTCCACAGTTGCAAAGGGCTGGTCATTGCCAGCCAGACTGGCAGTGGTTCCCAGGTGGTACCTCACATGAAATGCTGGGTTTCTTCAGTCTTACTGATCCGTAACCATCAGATTCAGAAGCTCCATGAGGAGTGTCGTGGGTAGCGTTTGGCCCACAGGTACCACCCAGAGACACCAGTTTCCTTGCCTTGTGGAGCATCTCAGACAAAAGAGATTAGGACAAGAATGGCCCTGGGTGCCAGGGTCTCTCGGAGAGAAAGCAGAATACGGGTTCTCACTGTCTACTGCTGTGAAAGTAAATCGTAACTCTGAGAACATCAGAGACATGTAAAAGTTCAGGCCAGAGACGTGTAAAAGTTCAGGCCACAACCCCTCAAACTGTTGTTGCTCTAACTTGGACACCTGTGATTTGTCAGGCAGGTTTTACATTAGGCTTTAAGGCATTTCAGGCTTCTGCTGGGCGTTTCTGAATTGAGTAGAAGAGGTAAGAGGTTCCCTGACTGAAGCAACTGTATATGAAGAAGCTATTGCTTGCGTGGTCATAGTGTATGTTAACTTGTCTCACCAAGGGGATTTGATTTGCAACATAGTAGAGGAGAGAGCTCCATCTGTAGACTTTGACATTTTTAGCCTCCTTAAGCTACACACCTTTAAGACATTCCTGCAGTGAGAGAATAATAGTTCGGTTTGGTAGATCCCCTGTTATTATAGTACCCTTAAGTGCTAAAATAAATGAACCTAATACCGTCAAAGTTAGCAGCCCAAACCACATTTTGAGACATTAAATAAGCATCGTTTGCAGAAATACAGAATAAATTCAACTTCATAAAAGTGTTCCCAAATTTTTAACTTAATACAAACTCACCATCTTTCGAAAGTCTGAGTATTCATGAGGTAGACTATTGTTCATTGGAAAAGGAGTAACAGGAAATGGAGGAGATCCATAAGGCTCTTGATACCTAGAAAAACAGGCAAATGCAAAAGACAGTCCAGCACACACTGCTCACCACAGTGCCGAGACTTAACTCTTGGGCTGTAATGAGAATATCCAGGAGAACTGAGATATTACTAGCTGGACTTCCATGAAGAAAAAAAAAAAACAACCAAGGAAAATACACCCAAAGGCTCAATTAATGAGTAATCCTCACATGTACTTAAGTGCAGATGCAAAAGACTTCTAAGTATCACCATGGGAGTCTGGCTTCCACAGAGAGTTCTGTCACATTTGTAAATAAAAATGTTGAAATGCAGAAAACTGGGGTGTTCAGACCTCCATTATAGCAGGTTTATACCTGTGTATTCACATGTGCACGACGCTTGTACATATACACATAAAAAAATAGAGATATAAAATCAGTGGGGTTTTAAAAAAAAAATAAATCTCCGTTGTCATCTATTTTCCCCTCTAATAACTGCAAACGTTGTTAGTACACACACTGTATTTCAATATTTTCTCACAGTTTTACATCTTGCAGTAAAAAATTGAGTGGAAAATTCAAGCTAACTGAACCTCTGGCAAGTTAAATAACCAAACGTTAAAATTAACTGAAAATTAACTAGAGCCTGTTGCAAGTCATTGGTAAGGATGCAATTAAAGCATGCAATAGCTGTTTTAAGGAAAAGCCTAAAGATTGCTCCACCACATCAACTATTTTTCTGAATAAGATTTTTTAAAATTTAGAATAAAACAGTCCATTCACAGGTGATCTTTGTTACCTATATGAAGGTGAATATAAGTCACTATAGTTCTCAAAACCATGTGTTGAGCTGTTTAGTTCTGATGAGTGAGAGCTCCCTGTAAGCAAGACAAGAGCACAATGACTATTCAGTAACGACTATTCAATTAATAAGTTAAAAACACAGGAAGTGTTCTGCGTCATCTGTAATATGCTAGTATATCTTAGGTTATATATAAAGCTAAGGTGCCGTTTATCGCAGATAATCTGTAGCTTCGTTTTACTGCTTGAAAAACATTTATTTCACATTTATTCACTTACAGTAATTCCCATTCGCTGACAAAGAGGGGAAATACTTCTGCTTTAAGAACCTCAGCCATTCTACTTAAACGCAGTAAGTGCTCTATTTGGCCTTTTAAGGAGCACACAGCACACAGTGGGAACATGGGTCCTTAATGTTTGGACTGCAAACGCTGCCTGATCATTAGCTCTCTAGAAGGCTTATTTTCATAAGGATAAAATGAAGAATGTGACTCTGATTTGACTACATTCTTCAAACTACAATCCCCTTAAGACAACAGCTCTGATAACTCTGTGGCTTTAGCATAAAAATTATCAAATAGCTTGACAGCTACTGCACTTAATCAACTTTTCCTGCCAGACTGCAAGTTAAAGCCACACCCTGATTCCTAAATGCAATCTGGCGTGAAAACTCCTGTTGCCATGTTTCCCTTACAGTGTGGTCTGAGCTGGCTTGCAAGTTATGCTGTTCTGAACCAGCCTATTTTATTCCCTTAGTAGACAAAAAATACAAAGATTGAAACCTTCCCTATGCAAAAAGTCACATTTTTGTTTCCTTAAAAATATTACTGAAAATTGTTTAAAGTCTAAATCGTCATTTTGTAAAGCACTGTAGGAGTAAAAAATAGCCATTTAAAAATAAAAAAGTAACAGACTTAATCATTGATACTGCTAAACATACCAAACCGGTAGCACACTTTAATTGGTCTTCCATACAAACGGATTCCATTCAGCAAAGCTACTGCGTAAGGCACTGACTCTTTGTGCTTAAAGCAGACAAATCCAAAAGACTTAGGTTTTCCTTCTTTGTCCTTACAAATTGTCACTTTGGTTAATGGTCCAGCCTGAAAGAAATTTGTATTATTTCCTCAGAGAAATTAACAGAGATTTGACACTTCATTCTGTTTTGAACATTTCATAATGATATGCATTTTGCCAGGCTTGATGGGGCTCTGAGCAACCTGATCTAGTTAAAGATGTCCCTGGTCTCTGCAGGTGAATCGGATCAGATGACCTTTAAAGGTCCCTTCCAGCCCAACACATCTATGATTCTATGATGAATTTTCTCTACATGAGACAGAATCAGTCACCAAACTAACAGGCTCTCATCAAAACAAACTATGAGTCTGTACAGCTGATTTAGCAGACTGAAAAGAGGTGTGTCAACCGCAGTCTCCTGCCACAGCTCAGGGGCATTAAGGATGCAACAGCTTTGCTTTAGGAGAAGATAATATCCAGATGAGTGACTAAGTGAACACGTTACCAAAAAACCACAAAAGCACAGTAAAAAAAAAAAATAGATTGCTGAATCTCTAAATTAGCATAGTAGATGGAGAAGTCATTGTTCTCAAAAAATAGTACTCGTTGGTACAACTGGCTTCCACTGCTACTACTGATACAATACGTACTAATCAGTAAAAGTCATTCAGAAGTCATCTATAGCTTCAGGCAAACACAAGTTAACTCGTAACAGCTTTACAGCAATTAAACTGCATAAACAGTTAAACATTCAAAATAAACACACAGCATATGCTCAGATGAAGAAAATAAGCCATAGAAAGTAATTTACTTTATTATTCTGCATTTTCAACAATTACTGTCAAACAACAAATCTGCAATTTGTCTGCTTTGAGCACTTGGTGATGCTGTAGAGCCCTCTCCCTTATTATACCTTCCATGTTGGCAGACTGAAGATATTAAGGATTGCAATCTCTGATAACATCTGATTGCTGCATGCTTTTGCCAGCTGTCTGTAAACTAAGCCTCAATTAAAAAAAATGCTTTTGCTGAAAAATTACTCCCACCCCCCGCCCCTGGTGAAAGCAGGGAAGTCATACAGCCGAAGGATCAAAAATGATGTACCGTTTTTTATTACTGGCGCAGAGGGTGATCAGGTTCTACAGCAACAAATACTACCCAAGATTGTCCTGTGCAGGGCATCTTCAAAACGCTGATCTCTTCTTTCCAAATATCTTGAAGTTTGCTGGGGCTTTTTGCTTGGGTTTTGTGTGGGATTTTTTTGTTTTGGCATTGCGTGGTTGGTTTGTTTTTAAAGAGCGGATTTCAGTAATATTCTGAACATGTGTATTTTTCTTGAGTTGGCTCCTTAAGGCATTTTTGTTGTTCTGCCCTACAATGCAGTTTTAAATATATATATATATATACACACACACACACACATATATATATATCTCCAGTCTTCTGGATATATAGCCTAATGAAGAAGATCTGGTTCTTCAAGAACTAGAAGGAACAAAGTCAAGTCCTTTGCAGATCAGTCTTTTAAATATGCAGTCTTCCTGTTCATAAATAAAAATATTTAATAGTTTAGAAGTAATCACAGATACTTGCTTGTAATTTGATAAGGAAAAAGCTACCAGTCAGGACTGTATCTTTAGGACTATGCCACAGCAGGAA